GCAGGAAAATGAACAGAAATCCTTAGATGACTAGTGCCTTTAAAGAACCATATTTGCAATGTATAAAATGTATAGTGTTAACCATCTGTGGGATGATCTTTGTGAAACTCATGTCCAAGAGAATCAATGAAATGCTTTTGGCCGGAACTTACATCTTGAGAAATTTGGATAACCCCTGTGGAAATTTCCTGCAATCTACTTGTTTGATTGGGGCTGTGTGACAGCTCCAAACTTGTGATTTTACTTGGGACGTTGTGCTTACTCCCTTCCTTCTGCAGTAAGATTTGAAAAGCAGATACAGCATCCACAACCCAATTCTGTGTACTCTGCAGGTTTCTGTGGGTTTTCAGGTCTCAGTAGTGATTTTGGCAGGCTGTGCTTGCAGTGTTTCAGAGGGTGACCTGCTGAATATCTACATTGCCATATCCAGATGCTGAGGAACTGATTACCTGCAAAGAATGTGAAGCTGTTCCGTGAATAAGTGGACTCATACTTTTATAAAAAAATCTGTACTGCTTGTTGGGATCCTTTTGCCAAGTGCTTAAAGCTGAAATAACCTATTTTCAGTCTTTCTGTTTTTGGGCTCCAAGCTTTATTAGAATTTCACTCATAATGCTATGCACATTTATTGACACATGCTGCATTTATCGACCTTTTTAATATGAACTTGATACAGACTAATGAAACAAAACACAGAACAATTTTAGGTGAATGAATGCTGTTCTTGGAGAATTCATTTTCCAGGTGGTGAGAAGAAAAAGGCAAGGAAATTTTGAAAAGAATTTGCTTCATGGCTTTCACTCCTGCAGGCTTTTTACGTACACCTAAAGGCATGTGTTTAGTGAAGGTGGTGCTAAGTTTTTCTTTCAAAGGAAAGACAGAATGAAGTATCAGCAATTGTACATAGCAACCTCTGACCTAATGCTGTAGACGCGGCTATCATGAAAATTATTTACTTGGTGTGGAAACTGTCAGATATTTCTCAGGAATGGGGGTTCTTACACCAGCACTAAGGCTGACATTAGATGAAATTCCACATCACAAGCAGGTAAATGATCGAGTAGCCTTTGTTGCCTGAGGTTGAACACGGGAGATGGCATTTCTTTCAGGTACATTATGCAACCTGATCTAGTGAGGAGGTGTCCCTGCCCATGGCAGGGAGGGTTGGGACTAGGTCATCTGTAAGGTCCATTCCAACTCTTAGATTCTATGATTAGCATGCATCAGCAGACATTTTCTTGCCAACACTCCTTAATAATTGGTATCTTTTTATTGTCAATGCTGACTCACGTGTTCTGGTAGCTGTACAATTCAGATCAGTGTTTTTGTGACTTGTGGTTTCCTGGCATTACCAGCCTTCCTACTTGAAGACAAGTACTGCATTTTTTGAGTGCCTGAGTTTCCATAAGCATCTGCAGCTCTTTGTACAAGAGAGAGGACTTGAGAGACCATTGCACTGACCAAGTGTGACTGCCCTGCTCCTGCCCTGCCTGCTCCCAAGGCAGATTGAAAACAGTAGTGTTTCAGGTTAGGTTTTGGTTTTTTTTAACTTCTGCTCAGGAATCAACTTTTACTAGTACATAGAATACTTCTGCTGTTAAGCTTAAATGTGAGACTGTGAGTTGTTTTAAACTGGTTTTAAGTGTTTGTTTCCTGTGATTCCATCAGTGGTTGCACAGACGTGTGCGCACAAATGAGCACTGAATTGTTAGCCTTGTAGTTCTTGGTGTTGGCATAAAATGTTCTGCTTGGAGCTGATGGGAAGGTGTTTTCGCTGTTCCTTAAGTGCTTTCCCCCAAGATGTGCAAAGGTGTGATGGCACATGGAGGTGCAGGCAGATGTGAATGGTTCTGGGTCGTGCCAGCAGGAGTGAGTTTAGGGAAACCCTGATGGTGCTCTAGCAGGTTTTTGCCTAACTGATGGGGTTGCTCTCTGCTGCTTTTTCCACTGTGTTAACTGAAGTTGTGAAGCTTTGGCAATTTTATCAATAGCTTGCCTTGCAATGTAAGATTATGGTGTTCTTAAATGTAAGGTGATGATCATGCAGTGCTTAAATGATGAGAACATTTTGTAGTTAGGTCTTGAAAAATATGCTATGTATGTGTTGTGTCCTGCACCATAAATTAAGCTGTTGTAAATTCTTTTTGGTTTAGATGTTGGAACCCTACTTGCTCAAATAGTTTGACTTTTAATAGGCATTTCATGTTTAAAGAAGTATAAACCAGGTAGAACATCAGTTTTTAAAAAACAAGATGATAGAATAAAATAGTTACAGAAATACCATCAATAGAAAGGAGCAGAGCTAAAGAACCTAATCCATAGCAGAGCATTTTCCTACGTACAGCTGCATACACAACAGCTCCAGCATGTTCCTCTTCCTGTTGCCTTTCCAAGCAGAAATCCTCCTGGATATCCAGGCTGTGTTATTTCTCACTTCAGTTTAAATAATGAAGAAATAGGTATGTAGCTGCAGGCTCCAGGTGGTGTTACAGATGTCTGAACAATGATCCATTCAGGGAGAAATACCTGTTTAAGAATGTAGCAAAACTTGTCTATAACAAGCAGATCAAAGAGTCTGTAAACACAAATTTAAAAAAAACAAAACACAGAAAGAAAGGGTAGAGTGGGTCAGATGCATGACACGATATTGAGATAAGCTGTTGATAAGCCACTGCTGCAAATATTTGTCTTTGAAACAGTTACAAGTGGGTGGTTGGCCCAGAAGTGAGCCTGAGGTCGCTCTGTGGTTGAGTTCTGCGCAGTGGCATCACAGCTGATCATCCTCTGGAGAGCATTGGATGAGGTGTGCGTTGGCTAATGGCAGATGCTTTTCAGCATGTTCCCCAAAAGTCAGAGGTAGTTGATAAACTGGAAAATGTTTCTACCTCATTATAGATTGAATAAGGATGAGTGAAAAAACTGCTTTCTGGGGTTGGGCTGAGATGGAAAGTGCAACAATCAATTTCCTTTAACATAGGAGCCAGTGATGCTCATTTTCATCCATTAGCAGTGCTAATGGCGAAATGAAAAAGCAAAAATCCCAATCTGCCTTTGTCTTAGAGCAGAAAACTTTTCCCTTGAGGCTGCAGGATGACCATTTCAGCCTGTCCATAGGATTATGATATAATTATTTCTGATTTTACTTCTTTTTCTACTTACGGAAAGCAAACTTCAGCTCTAGGCTCATATTCAGTTCCTAAAGTTTAGCTCTTGCAATCTAAATTAGACCTACCCAGCATGTTTGCGAGGTCAGTGTTCTTGGAGACTGCAGTGGAAACTTGTTTGGAGAGAACTGAGGAGAGCTGGAATAATGTCAGATTGTGCTGGGAAAAGCTACTTCAAATGGGATGTCTTCAAGGAGCAATTGTAAAAATAACACTTGCTGTTAGCTGATAGAGCAGAGCAGCAAGTGGATAATAAATACAAAATCTGTGTGGTGTTCCAGTACCTGAAGATGTGTGAAGCTTTCCTATTAGTAGTTTGCACGGAGAACAGTAGTTTAAAACAGCCACTCCTCTGAACAGCACGTTAGCTATGTTTTAAATTTTCATGTTTATGAATTGGAGATTTGGAGGGTTTTTTTAATGTATGTAAAAAAGTATACATTTTTACCACAGAAAAACTTCTGTCCTGTCAGAAGGTGTTCAGGCCTCTGCCAATTGACCTGGGTGACAGAAGTGACACAGACACCAACAAAAAGAATAGGCTTATTTTACTATTGGTGTTTAAAATAATAGGAAAAATGAAGAATATATTTACATATAAGGTTAGTTTATTAAGTTCTAATACAAACAGCACAAGCAACAACAAAGGCAATAAGAAAGGTAATGCACCTAATCATTACTGCTCACAAGAAAGTGATTAAGATACATCACCAATTGCCCTAATGCTTTATCATCATCCAGACCAGTAAGAGAAAAAACTGCTTGATGTATCTCATGGTCAAGGAATTAAGCCATGCATCTCTGAAACTCGTAGGAAGAGAAAGGAGCCAGAGCTCATTCAGTCAACGCATATCCAGAGAAGGAGTTCCTTTGAGGATCATTTTCTTTGATTAGTTAAGAGTTACCAATCGCAAACATTTGTTTTTTTCAGTAGTTGCTTTACCTGACATTTTGCCACGTATACGTATATATACACATATAAAAATAAAATAGAAAAGGTAGACTGTTTTTATCCCAAGATGAGAATACTTTCTGCCATACCGTTTTACCTTGAGAGCAATGCATGGACATTGTTTGCCAGGGAGCAGCACTTGCCCATGAAGAACTGTCACAGTTGTACTGTCCTGCCTCAGGCTGCACCTCGCCAGCCAGGAGACATTGCTCATCTGGGTGTATTGTCAGAAAGCAATTTGAGGCTTCCCTTTATGTCTGAGGCAGATGGGGTTTTGTTCTAACCTCAGTGCCTGTCTGAGGTTTGTTTGTGAACATCTGGGAGCTCCAGGCATGGGAGAATTGGTGCCTGTGCTTAAAACCTGCTGATAGCTGGTGTTTGTTTAGCTGTTGTCTGAGCGTGTGAACATGGAGCTGTTTGCTTCATGGAGGTGCATGAGTGAGGCAAACAGTAAAGTATACATAGAAGTTAGACTTCAGTGCTGAGACCATGTTAATCTTTCACAAAAAATGTTCTGCTCAAGTGGTGTGCTGGAGATTTTCTTGTGTTTACGTTCCGCTTACAATAATTGTCTGAACTGTTGTTGTAAGGGCCAATACTAAGCACAGTTTTCTAATGAAAATTGCTTAGCTTCTGCAGTGGAAATGTTTTACTGTGCCGGGTGCTTAAGAAGTTGTCATTTCACCTGCTATTAAAATCCTTATTTTAGGATAGCATTGCTACTCAACTAATGTCCTGAGTTGAAACAAATGTGTGTAGTAGAAAACTTCAAATACAAAAAGCATTTTGTGTTTTTTAAGCTTTTTCTTTGCCTGAATAGACGTGTTGACATTCCCCGGAAGAGTGAAATGCGTTTAACCGACGATATGTCTCTTCTCTCATAGATTACAGAAGTTTGTGGAGCTAAGCGCGTGGGTTATTTTGGCCCTGCTCAATTTTACATTGCTCTGAAGTTAATTGCGGCAGCACAGTCAGGGTTCCCAGTACGGATCGAGAGCATTAAGAATGGTAAGTAGCAAATTTTGCATGCAGTGCTGTGCACTTGTTTCTCACTTTCTTTAATGCTTGTCAGCTCTCCGTGGTGGTAAACCTTTTCTTCTAACGTGTCTATGAACAATTTTAAGGAGCACAGAAAGAATAGAAGGTATTATTACATACTTTAAGTGACTGGTAGAAAATTGCAGTGAATTTACACATACGGCAAAGCTGAGACAACACTCCCCTCTGGAAAAGACATTACAAATGAGTGGTGTGAATGACAGCTGATCAGTGCTGGAGATGCATTTCTTTCTCACCTTCAGCCTCTCATCTTGACAGCTGTCCAGAGTGAGAGCTGATTACTGCTTCAGGTGGAGGCATGTTTGGGGAAGATGGGGTCAGATCAAGGGGTCCCTCTGTGCAGGGCAGGTTGTAACACTCATCTGTTTTGGCAAATAATTCTGCTGAAATAAAGGGGTAATGGTGACAAAATCATAGTGCTTCCTATCAGTAGGCATGAAAATGTGTATTAGAGGCAATTTAAAACAGCTTCATTCTTGCCAATGAATTGACAGTAATATTAAATGTACAGTTTTTTATGGAGAAAAATGCTTCTTGTAAGAGGCTTATCAAATCAAACTCAAGCAATGACGAGAGAAAGCAGGTTCCTTTTAGCTGTGAAACCTTGAGAGTGACTAAATGGAAGGAACTCTGTGTTCCTGCTTGGTGATGCACACACTGCTGCTCGAGCTCAACCAGGTTTGAACCCTTAGCTCCCACATCCCAGGCAGGTGTTCAAACCATGCCCCACAGCTGTGCTCTGAGCAAGAGGGCTTGTCACCATCTTGCTGAAGGAGCAATGCAGTCAGTCACAAGGTCAGAGAGAAGGTAGGAAAGGCAGGACCTACCCACAGCCTTGCAGTTGGGTCACTGCCCCAGCACAGCTTCTGTTCTGCTGTCCCTGGTATGGGCAATGGCACGTAAAGTTCACACATGTTACAGGGCACAGGGAGGAGGTTCCCAGGTCTGCCCCGTGCCAAGGAGGGTAAGCCAGGCTGACAAGCACATTCAAGCCTGTGAAAGCTGAGCTCCTGCAGTGCAGAGCTCCTGACCAAGTGCAGAGCTTCAGATGCAGCCAGCACAGTTCGGTTCAGTGCCCTGCTGGAATGGGGGTTTGAACCAAGGCTGAAGAGGGAAGGCCTGGGTTCGTTTGCCAGTTTTCCTTACAGCTTACGTGCTCTCTCTTGCATTGCTGTCCTTTTTAAGGATGTTAATAAAAAAACGGAAAAAAAAATCACAAAAAAACCCTAACAAACTAAATTAGCAACCTGAACTGAGATTTACTGTGTATGTTTTATAAGTCCAGCATCTGCAAATAGTCCATAAATCTGAGTGAGAAAGGGTACTTTCATTCCTTGTATTGATACCCTGCTTACTTACTGTTTCAGTAAAATTTGAGTAAAAATGCTTCCAGTGATAATTACATTTTCTCCAGAAATAGAGTGCCTTTAAAGTGGTATGAGTAACATGTACCAAACTCCACTTGATTTCTTTTTCTTCTTGGTAGCAGCTGTAGGTGTAAATGATTACAGAGGTGATGAATGGCTTTGCTTGGTTTTGAGCAATCTGTTAATTTTAATTGTATTGATCTTTCAGGGTGATTGTGCACCAAAATAAATGGTGTTTCTTCAACATAATTTGGAGCTGTCTTAAAGAGTGACAGAGTGTCACTCTCTTGCTCCACACAGCAGATGCAACCTGAGACCTTTTGACGTGGTCGTCTCACCCAGGCCTTGGTGTGATCTCTGAACCCTACCATTTTTAATTTCTTCCTTTTACGGTGGCATCGTTGAGGATACTCTGATCCTGACTGATTAATTCATCAGTCCCACAGTTTATGTGGGAAAGTATTGTTTTCATTACAGGCAAGGTTTTGAAGGCAGGAAATGAGTTTGCTGCTTGCTTTAGTCACATGCACAAGGCTTATTTCTTTCCCTTTGCATGAAGAGATTATATATTAAGCCAGTGAGTGTAGCTTTGTATCACATTCACATTTTATTAAGACACAAAATAATCAAAGGAGTTCCACACTTAAAAATGTTACAAAATCTAAATGGTAGTCTTTGATAGATAAATTTTTCATTTGTTTTGCAAGAAGATACTGCTTAAAGTGCTTCTAATGTTCTGTAGTCTCAATTGAATTTTTCTCTCTTTTAATAAAGAATTGCCTCTGCCGCGATTTATGGCGCTGAAAAATGACAGTGAAGTACGTTACGGGACTCCAGCAGAACTCCATGGAGTTAAATTTCAGGTTCCACATGCAACTTTGGAAAAAAATTCCTACAAAAGAACAGATGAAGGGGACAAACAGGTAAAAGGCTTGTCCCCTTTAGGCCAATATATCATTGTGCATCTTCCTATTGGGTCTAGTCCTGTGAATGTTTACACTCACATGGACTTGCTCAGTTTTCCAGTACTAGACAGGAGATGAACTCCTGGTGTGCAAATAATGCCCATCATGGCTGTGTTCTGGTTTTGATGTATCCCAGTTGGTTCTCTGAAGGAAATGTGTCTATATGAGCTTGTATAAAGCTGTCAGCCCTGTAATATTCTGTATAAGCTCTTTCAGTGTTGTCCTCCTACTTAATCCAGCATTGTGCCTTGGAGAGAACCAGGGAGAGGCAGCAAAGAGAAATGTGTCTGAGAAACAGAATAAGAAAGCAAGTGATTTCCATGGCCACTATGGTCCATAGTCACTATGGAAATACTCAGTTAGATAAGAGATGCTGAACCATGAGCCACTAATTTCTGGGTGGAATAAAGCTCCCAGGTTTTCTTCTGGAGTAGTCCAAAAGAAGTCTGCTTTTCTTTTGTCCTCAGTGAAACATGAATGTCCCAGTATCTGTTGTTCTGAGTTGCCAGTTTAATAAAAACTGTCTAAGGGAGACTTGTATTACCTGTATTTAGGAGAGTTGAGAGCGCTTGTTCAGATAGAAGCAGCTTCACAGTGCTGCATAATTTTCTTGAATATTGATTTGTATAATTTTCCCCCAGCCTAACATCTCTTCTGGTACCATATCAGGTCATGTTGAAAGTGCCTGGTGGCAGGCACTTTATCTTCCCAAAACGTGTGGGCACATTTATCACACGGTGCGTTGGCGTCAGTAACAGTGTTCCCAGCCTGAGGTCAGCCAACAGGAGTGAGCTGATGACAAGATACACAGGTGGAATAACAGGATGAGGAAGAAGAGCATGTATACCTGTCTGACTGTGTGTACTGGCACTGAGGCAGAACACTGCCCTCAAGCCCTAGGCTCCATCTAGGTTATGTGTGTTGGGTTGTATTTTCCTTTTTATTCATTAAACTCTTCCAGGATTACATCCTCTTCTCAATCTCAGTAAGTCAAAGGAAAGAGTTAGTTATCCAGTGATACCTACAGATTCACAGAGTGCTTAAAATACTGATTGAGAGATTAATTTTATTTTTTGTACATTATTTACATGAAAAATTATCTCCCACAAAGAGTGCACTTGCACTAACTAAATACATAAATTCGAAGATAGCCACTCACATTGAACCTTCTACATGTACTTCTTCAGGCATTTTTGGAAGTAAAATGCATTACCCCTAGAAGGCTTAGTACCAAAGTACCAAACTGTCAATGTTTTTTAAGAAGCCTTTTCTTGGAAATAAAGGGCCTGAGGATGCTGCAGTATTTACCTCTTCTTTGTCTATCATACCATACATGCTCAACATTACTTTGTTATTTCTTCTGTCTCAGAATTCTATTTTGTGTTGATGTGTTTTTGAAATAGGAACCCAAGTCTCCTCCCTTGTCTCCAATCTGCTCACCTCCTGCTTCTCCATCTACTTACCAGAGAATACCCCTGAGTTATGGATATGGTAAAGCAAGAAGTGGACTGGAGCAGCAACATGGAGGTAGAATAAAAATTGGGATGCATTGTATTTAATTCTTCTTTTCTGGGGTTTTTTTTTCTTTGTCAGAGGCATCCAAATTCCAAATGCAGCTGACAATCAGCCTAATGATTTAAAAATTTAATTAGACCTGTGTTTTGGAAAATGATTCGATCAACTTATTTTATTTTGACTGTTCAATCCTGTCTTCCTATTCACTTTCTATGAAATGAAATTTGTGTGTCTGCTCACAAATGCTGATACCTAATCTCTGACAAGCAATATATCCCAGTGGCAGAGAGCTTCTGACTATTGTTAGAGTGCATGATGCTTTTGGTTTCATTAGAGGGGAAGAAAAGCTCGCTCCTGATTTCAGTAGCTGCTGTATTAATTTTCAGATTGGAAGTGAAACTTCCTTTGCAGGAAAAGATAATAATCTCTCTGGTCTGAAATAACAATAGGACATGAATATAAAACCAGTCCCACGACGTAACTTGGACAATACAGATAGAAAGGCACTGCATAGATGCTCTGTCCTTCATCTTGTTTCCATTGAAGTAGGCAGCAAAATGTTCTGATTTTAATAAGATGGTAATGGGGCAGAAGCCAGTTCAGCTGTGTTTTTACAAGCTCCTGATACTGTAAGGCATCTGTGCTCTTGTAATTGCAACATGTGACCAAGTTGGTGGCAACAGTAGGCACTGGTGTACACCATCCCTCCATCATCCCTCCTGCTTTGGGTTAGGGTGTTCGCACTGAGTGAGGAGTGGAGCACGTTAGTCCTTCAGCTTTTGTCCTTGTTTACAAATCAGTGGGGAAAAAAACAACCTTTTGAAGCTCGTTACAGCTGTGATAAGAATGTGTTTGACACTGTAAGGTGCCTTCACATGAAAATTATACTAGCACTGAGTCACAGGCATTCACTGCAGTTTGTTCAGAGATGGGATTTTTTTTCCCCACCCCATGCTTGGCATAGCTGATCAAAACAGTGAGGCTCAATTTCTGAAATAAGCAACACTAGTGAGGTTGTATTCTGGTACAACACATGTTCTGCCCCAGTGAAGGAGATGTGGCAGATAGCCCACGCTCCAGACAGCTGAGCAGGACGCAGCCATTGGGACCTGCTGACCATGTTACCTGTTGTGTGCTCTGCTGTTTTCTGGAACTCTGTCCCAGATCTGTCAGTGCTATGGGAGAGTGTTTTGGGGGTTGGTTTTGGTTTTTTCCAAATTTGGTTGCAAATGTAACTTGCTTGACAAAATGGACTTTCATACTATGTTCACAAGCTAGATTCTGTCCTTATGGTATTTAGTTTTTCCTTTAGCCTAGTAAAATGTTTTGATTATCCTTTAATTTATATACTTGATTTTAAATGTCTGTAGCTCCTTATGAAGTCAGACACTGTACTCACCAGCAAGATGGGCCATCATCAGGGAATTACGGAGCCAAATCTGCACTCAGCTGTTCAACTCCTAATCGGGTAACAAATTGCATATTTTTGTTAGTAGTACTACTAATAAAACAATAGAGAGGTTAAATTAAAAATAAGCAGAGGATTCTCACTTTAAAAGAGGAAAGTTTTCTCCATGCTGTTTTTAGACTAAAGACTTAAGTGTGCTAGTATGGGGG